GACAGATCACCATGTCACGTGACGTTATGAACTGTGTCGCAAGATCAACCACATTCGGAATATGTGCAGTTTGAAAGTACGTGTGCGTGCGCGTGTGTGGGTGTGTGTGGGTGTACACACAGGAGATTTTCGTGTGGTCAAGGGAGTCCACTCTATGGGTTTGGGGAAATAGAGAATTTCATATTTTTGTTCAGATGTAACGTGGGGGAGGGGCGGGACACGAAATATAAACATTGACATAACAAATGTATAATTTAATTACATCCTAATTAATATATGTTATAATACCTCAGCCCCCCCCCCTTCTCTCTAGTTCTAAAAGCCCTACCCCCTCCCTCCAGAGTAAAATGTCTGGTGTCGTTGTCATTGCTGTTTTATGGGGGGAAAAAAGGGGGGTAGAATTTAATGTATTTTAATAGAGTGGGGGAGGGGGGGGGAATAAATATGTAAAAATTATTATTTAATCTTCTTAGAAAACCAACCAAAAAAAAACCGGTCATTACCTTATCATTAACACAAAGGGAAAAAATAAGTTTAAAAAATGAAGACGTCTTTCTGGCTAATAGACATGTGACACTCCCACCGCCCGCCCCCCCCCCCCCCTCCCGCCCTTGTCACGTGATCCGGGCAAGGTAATCAGCGTGTGATTACCTCCCCATGACCTGGATGTCAATATTTGTCATCCATTCTCTGGCATCAGTGTCAAGGACGTCGTTTGATGCGTCCAACTTGCCGTGTTGACTTTCAAACAACGGGAGGGGTAGGGTTGGAAGGGGGGGAGGGCTTTAGGGGGAGGGGTGCTGGGGGAGCAGTGAGCTGAGATTTTGTTAGAGGTGTAGGGGAGGTGGGGAGGGCATAAAATATGATTCTCTTTGTTGTAATGGATTGTAAATATAACGTCGTTGTCATGTAATATTTTTTTATAAAACTTATTGCTTGAAATATTTTACGCTGTTTCGTCGTTGTGTGTAAAATTCATCGTTTCTTTTTTTTTCTTTTTTGTGTGAATGTGTGTGTGTAAGTAAAACTGGACTGAAGCACACGCACCAATCGAGCGATTATTCGGGTGATAATTAAAGTATTAAAAGTTTATTTTTATTACAAGATCAAAGCAAGGTTCCTATTCATCAAATAGACCAAGTTTTTTTTAACTAGCTAATATAGTGATGGATATATTTATATTTTATGCCGTGTTTTTTTAAAAATCAAGACCCTGACAGTCTAGGTCCCTGTCAGTTTAAGACCCTGTTAGTTATAGACCCCGTTAGTAATAGACCCCGTTAGTTCTAGACCCAGTTTGTTCAAGACCCCGTTAATGCAAGACCCCGTTAGTTCAAACCACTCAAAATGGTATCATGATTTAACACTAGTCTAGCACTATATGCTTGATTGCTGCATGAAAAAAATCTTGTGAGTTACATCGTTGTGCCGACCCAAAAAAAAAATTACTGACAAATATTGTTTCAAACTTTCAGTTTAAAAAATGACCAGAGGGTGGGGGACAGCCACTCCCCCCTGTCCCCCCACCCCCCTGCGTACGCTACTGCGTAAAACGCATGTGCGTGAGCCCAAGAGCCGCTCGACGGTTCGTGTCCATCTCGTGCACGTGCACCAGACGAGCAGAGGCGTGTGACCTCATCCCATCCGCCAGCTCGACATTGACCCTGAACCTTGCCCCCTCCGCGGGGTCAAGTAGTGAATGGCGGGTTGGGTTTTAAATACACCGCCAGATGAAATAAACCTGCGCTCATCCACAGCTTAATGAGGGACGCGTGGAGTGCAGGGATTCGAACCGTGGCCCGTGGTTCGACTGGTCCTCATCATTAACGTCAGGCAACATGAAGTTAAAAAATAAAAACTTCAATTACCCGTCAAGCATATCAATATCCGCTCCATTTTTTTTTAAATCCATCGACCCAAGCAAAAAAAAAAATTATTAAAAAATCTCAAACATAATCGAAAACTTTAGTTTGTGTGTAAGGGACATATTCCCAAACAGAAAGTTATTTTTCAATATGTAGTTGTAAAAACTGTGAATGAGACAAAAAAAACTATTTTTGTAAAAAAAAAACAATTTTCATTAATTTTGAACTTGATACCCTTGTGTGTGCTCATATGCATGTGTAATTTCAACTTCAAACCTATCACATGATTCAGCTACAACCTTTTTCATAATTGGAACTCCACAGTCAAATTTCAATCATGAAATCCTGGTCATTAAAATAAATAAACCAACGCCATTCACATTGAGTTTCTCTTAAAGAATAATTAATTATTAGTTTAATTAAAAGAAATGCAAAAAAAAGTCAAATTAGATGAGTCACTGAGTAAACTTACATTGATAAATGCCTTGATAAATGCCTTGATGAATGCCTTGATAAATGCCTTGGTAAATATATTGGTAAGTGCCTTGATAAATGCCACTATTATTTAGAAATCGACGATTTTTTTTTTTTTTTTTTTTTTGCGTGTTTCAAATTCACCAATAAATCGTTGTAATTAGGCCTACACGATGTAATGTGGCTTGCCTACAAAGTGACAATCCCTATACCCCCCCCCCCACCCCATCCACGACCTCGTTCTCATTTTAACGCGATATTAAACAATACTGATGTATTCAATCATACTTATATCTATTCAATCATACTTATAATCTCATGCTGGTTTAAAGAAATTGATTAAAATCACGATTGTTTTGTTTGTTTTTCGTTTTTGTTTTGTTTTGTTTTTTCTAAATTTTACCTCAGTGCTTTCATACTGCGAGTAACCAGAAGATTGTATGCTGATTACATCCAGTGTTCAGATCCTAGCCCTAAACCAAACCTCTTGACAGGATTAGGTGATACGTCTAGAGCGTTCATCCAGTACAGTATGCACGCTATAACCTAGCCTGCTCCCTGATGTCATAGCTACGTCACACAACTGTTCTGTATGCGCCACCATACCCTAACTCGATCCTCGAGATCGATCGAGATAAACAACCCATCTCTATGGGAATTCCCGATTATGCCATCCGACGAGACTGGTTACCACTTACGCCGCCATGGGAAATTCCCAATCATTAATTACATGTTCAACAACCCATTTAATTACATTAAAATCGCCCATCTAAACTTAATTTAAAAGTAAAATTAAAAAACAACAACGGTTATCTTCAAACGAATCGCTAACTTTTAAAGAATTGTCTTCAATTAAAATGACCATATTGTAGAAGTATTGTCAACGAAGATGTTGTAATAGAAAATGTGGGTATAATTGATGGTTTCGCACAGCAAAATAGCTGCATTTGTTGACATGCTAAGACTTCTACATTGGATTTGGATTTCAGTTAGCTGAGGAAAATGGTTAAGTTTGAAACAATAATATATAGGCCTGTATACTTTTTTTACAAGAGTAATTAGGTTAGAAACAATAATATATAGACCTGTATACATTTTTTACAAGAATTATCGACGCTTATTTATCGATTAGAGAAATGTACCCAAGTAATCAGCCCTAATTACAAGCTTTTAACTTGCTTCCTCGTACTTTTGTCGAGCTTAGTGCTTCGCCATGGATCGAAACTGGCGAGCGAAATTTCAACAACTTATAACAGACTGATTTCTTTGAAACTTGGTAATATATATATATATATATATATATATATATATATATATATATATATATATATATTATATATATATATATATATATATATATATATATATATATATATATATATATATATATATATATATATATATATATATATATATATATATATATATATATAGGCCTATATATATATATATATATATATATATTTTTATATATATATATATATATATATATATATATATATATATATATATATATATATATATATATATAAAGATTAACAGTTTAAATAACTTAAAACAACTCGGTCAATATAATTGTTATGCACTGAATAACTACTAAAATGTTAGAAACGACCCTTGCTATTCTTTATAATTATTTAAATACTAATGTATTATTGCAATTTTATTGTAATTTTCTTCTCTTAAGTGCATAATTTTATAAAAGCTTATTATTAGAACTAATTTTTTAATGAACTTTTTTTTAACTAAATTTTTTTTTATGGAAGTAACTGTAACTCTGGGCGCCTAAATTAAAAATATAAAATATACCGAGTTATCCCCCTTGTATGCTTTCACTCGCTTGTCGCGATTTCTTGAATAGCAGATTTCTGATACCTTGTAGTGACGCTTTAAAAAATGTATTTCAAACTACACTGGAGTTATAAAAACAAAAACTGAGGTTTCGCTTCGATGCAAAATGAAATCTGGCTTGCGAGTATAGAGCTGGTCTAACATCGTTACCCATCTATCGGCTAGAACGCACTGGGTCGTTATTTATTTTTACACGGCGTCGCCGACAGCGGAACAAGGCCGGTAAACAAGGGGTATGGAGATCTACTCAACTCACTTCCCAGCTAATTATCAATAGTTTAATGAGTTGGGATTTTTTTTAAGTAGGGGGGAGGGGAGAGATCTTGTTTTTATTTCTTACAATAAATCACACTTGTCCCATTACCCCCTATCACCGTCCCTTCCCCCCCCCCCCCCCCCCTTCTTTTCATAACCGTCGCGAGATGTCATAACGAGATGGCCACGCTTGGCTGGCTACGCTACTACAAATCACACGCCTCGCCTGGCCCTCCACTCCACGGTGGGTGGGGTTTGTCGTTGTTGACTGGCACGCGAAACGCCAGTGGGGTTACCGCCCCCTTCCTCCGTTAATGTCTCTTCTACCCCCTCCCCCCCTCCCCCACCCCCCTCCATCCCTCTCCCCCAGGTGATTTTTTTTTTTCGTGTGCCGGTCTCGCTGCGTCGTGAGCCGGGTGATGAGGGGCGGTTACTCGCCCGTGGAGCGGACGAGGGGGGGAAAAGGGGGTGGGGGAGGGGAGGGAAAAAAAAAACCCGCTCCCCACTTCCACTGTGTTCTTGCGGACGGCCATCTATCAGACGGCACTGCAGGGCCGTGGCGCGAGTTTGGGTACGATCAGACAGTACACCTCGGGTACGACTGTCGGTATACCACTGGTAGGATACGACGGGATAGCACTGGTAGGATACGACGGGATAGCACTGGTAGGATACGACAGGATACCACTGGTAGGATACGACGGGATAGCACTGGTAGGATACGACGGGTTAACTCCTATAGGATACGACTGTATAGCTCGTCTATGGAAAGGTTCAGTGTTTTTTGTCACTAGCTCCTACAAAGCTAGGCGAATCTTGATCCGATTCTAAACAAGGATTAAAAAATATTCTCTTGGACATGTGAACGTTCGTGATTTTAGAAATTGCATCCAGATAATTTAATCAATTATTTAAAATTAATTATATTTCTATTTTTTTAATGTGAAAGTTAAATTTTAATTTTAAAAAAAAAATTATTTTAAAAGATTAAGCTCAGACTATAGTTTTATAATTAAAGTGTTTTAATGAAATTAATAATATCCAACTGTTCGTGGAAATAGTGGAATGAAATCGTTGTGAGAGTAGCCATTCAACTCTGGACACAACTGTTGTGTGAATTTGCTGTGATCTTATTTCTTTAAATGTTTGGATAACCTCACAAGTTGGATTACATCTCCCGACCAGCATGGCTAAGTTCCTTCTCATCTTATTGGGTGAGTGTTTACAATAGATTAGCTCGAGTGAGAGTATTTAGGCTCCCCAATTTATATCTGTATTGAGATCTATTTGCAGGAGTTATCTTTGCTTTTACCTGACTGTGTTAAAGCTAACAACATTACTACAATTATCTTGCGCATAACCTACTCTTTACTTAATCATTATTTGCCAGAAAAATATATCGCTTTTAGGATCTTACATTTAACTTATCATCACCACGCTAATTCTTCCTTTAATAGGGTCTTGCACTAAGGATCTTGCAACTTGGAGGATCTTGCCCATAGTATCTTGCAGTTGATATCTTGCAAAACGTTTAATTTATCTAACTAGCTTCAATACTATACCAGCTGAAATGTCTCTACGACTTACTTTTCCAAAAAGGGTAAAACCCGCCTCTTCTAGTCTAGTCTAGTAAACAAACAACATGGCTCTAGCAAGTAGAGAAGTTGCTAGCAACACCATTCTAGCTAACAATATTTCCTGTATAGCTAACTACACGACATTAGACTAGCAAGCAACACCACCACACTAGCTAGCCACATAACTTGTATAGCTAACCACACGACATCAGACTAGCTAGCAACAACGCTCGTTGAGTCAGCCTTGCTCACCAATAAGCTGCTAATCACTGATTACCGCTCATCACAATGATGTTTCACCACTCCTCAATGATGTTCTACCGCACACCACAATAATGTCCTTACAATGATGTTCTACCGCTCACCCCAATGAAGTCTACTCCTCACCCCAATGATGTTCTACCGCTCTCCACACCCCCCCCCACCCCCTGTGCTAAAAAACAAAAAAAAACAACTTTCGTCTATTGTGAACAGTGTTGCAAATACCGGCAAGTGCAACAACTCTCTCCCTCACCCCCCCCCCCCCCCACCCCACACCCCAGCTGTTAACACACGATCTCTATCAGTAGTTAAAAAAAAAAAAAAAGAACCACGTCCCATGCTTAGACTTATGTTTACCAGATTATACCGAACGGTGTGCGAGTGAATCTCAAAGTGGGATCATCACCGTTTTTTTGTGGTGTATACTGTAATCAGCATCTGCTCATAACGTATGATCCTAATTTTAAACTGCTAATACTGCAGTGCAGCACACATTTCAAACGATGCGTCCTTACCAACGTATTTTGACCACTGGATAGGGTGGAGCTGATATCAGGCAGGGAACTAACAATAGAGGGAATATGGATAAAGGCATTGATGTTTGCTTAGGAATAGCGAGATCAAGAGATTAGCGTAGAACCGAAGTGTAGATGTTAGTTAAGATTAGAGGATCGGGGAGGGGAGGGTGGGTAGAAGTTTCTGTGTAACGTGCATGCCTTTTGTTGGTTAGCGAACAAACAGACTTGTCTTGAGCTTATTATTACTTTTTCCCTTCTCCCACGCCGTGTTTACTTTTGTTTAAGTAAACGTAATTCCTTGAACGCCCGGGTATTTTTGTGTGTGTGTCTCTGTTTGCGGAGTTTTCCTCTTTTCCTCTGACATAAAGCAACACTCTCAACTCTGTTGCTGTTGTCGGTGTCAGATTGGTAGGCTGGTGTGCGGTCGGATGTAGCCAAGGCCCACTCGTATGCGTTTTCTCCAAAATTGTTTCATTTAGCACTATATAAAGTCATGTATACAAAGATTTGTGGGGCTCCTGGATAGTTTTCAGCATGGGTGCCTGGTAATTTTAACACCCCCTCCCCCTCTAAAGTAATTTCTTATAAACTATGTCAAGAGATACATTATTGTTTTACTAAAATATGTGTCATAAACCTGCATAAGTTTTATTCCGCCCCCCCCACCCCTCTTAAGCAAATCTCACAAAATCTAGAGTATATTTAATTAAATTATTGCTACTATTACTGTAATGCCCGTGACTCGGTTTATGTCTATGCTATTAACTTACTAACGTGTTTCATTTTTTATTTTCAAATGGGCCGATGTGTTTTCATTCTATTATCCCACCCACGCCCCCCTCCTTCCCCATCCCCTTCCTGTCGTCCACGCGTTAACGCTTGAGTTCAACCAAGATATGAGGGGTGTCAGGTCTATTCAGTTTGTTCAGCAAATCACTTGAATGCAGCTCCATTCATTTTGCTTGCTGACCCCCGACTGCCATTCTAAGCCTAGCTGTTACCTTATTTACAAACCAAGGTCTGCGTGGAAGGTCTAGTTCAGTGTAGAAGATCTAGATAAATCTAAGGTCTAGTTCAGTGTAGAAGTTCTAGATAAATCTAAGAGCTAGTTCAGTAGAGAAGGTCTAGTATTGGTCTAGTTCAGTGTAGAAGGTCTAGATAAATCTAAGAGCTAGTTCAGTAGAGAAGGTCTAGTATTGGTCTAGTTCAGTGTAGAAGGTCTAGATAAATCTAAGAGCTAGTTCAGTAGAGAAGGTCTAGTATTGGTCTAGTTCAGTGTAGAAGGTCTAAATAAATCTAAGGTCTAGTTCAGTAGAGAAGGTCTAGTATTGGTCTAGTTCAGTGTAGAAGGTCTAGATAAATCTAAGGTCTAGTTCAGTGTGGAAGATCTAGATAAACCTTAGGTCTAGTTCAGTATGTATAGATATATCTAGATCATTGTAAGGTCTAGATCAATATAGAAGATCTAGATAAATTTTAGGTCTAGTTCAGTATAGAAAATCTAGATAAATCTTAGGTCTAGTTGAGTATAAAAGATTTAGATAATTGTAAGGTCTAGCCCAATACAGAAGATCTAGTCTTAGGTCTAGTTCAGTGTAGAAGATTTAGATCACTGTTAGGTCTAGTTCAGTGTAGAAAATAAGTCTTAGGTATAGTTAATATCTAGACCACGTTAGGTCTAGTTCAGTATAGAAGACCTAGATCACTATTGGATCTATATACGATTTGTTTATTTCCATTAGAAACTAAAACATACGTTTAGTTCCATTGGGCCTTTAAGCAAAATGTTAAGTTCAACTGGACTCATAAACAATACGCTTAGTTGTTTCTTTTGTACGTTAGTTATAAGTAAGCTACTCTTGTGTTGTGTGTTGGGCTACCCTGTGTTGTGTGTTGGGCTACCCTGTTTTGTGTGTTGGGCTACCCTGTGTTGTGTGTTGGGCTACCCTGTATTGTGAGTTGGGCTACCCTGTGTTGTGAGTTGGGCTACCCTGTGTTGTGTGTTGGGCTATCCTGTGTTGTGTGTTGTGCTACCCTGTGTTGTGAGTTGGGCTACCCTGTGTTGTGTGTTGGGCTACCCTGTGTTGTGTGTTGGGCTACCCTGTGTTGTGTGTTGGGCTACCCTGTGTTGTGTGTTGTGCTACCCTGTGTTGTGTGTTGGGCTACCCTGTGTTGTGTGTTGGGCTACCCTGTGTGGTGTGTTGGGTTACTCTTGTGTTGGGCGAGTTGGGCTACCCTGTATTATGTGTTGTGTGTTTGGCTAGTTGGGCTACAACATGTTGTGTATTGGGCCACCCTGTGTTTTGTGTTTCTCTACACGTGTGTTGTTTGTTGACTTCACAGTTTCACTTGAACATTGCACCTAGAGTTGGTGAGCGATTTTTTCCCCATACGTGTTTGTTACGTTTCTGACACAGGGTACACTATCAGCATAGGAGGCGCGTTATTTTGTTTTTCGTGAGGTGTTAAAGTTTACTGAGATGCTCCCTGGATTTTGTTGTAGTTCGTGGTTTCAGTGGAAGTCATGCATACGGTTTTGTCTTCTTCCATGTTCTCACTTGCTTCAATCAAGTTTTTAAGAAAATTTACCCAGTTGTCTCCCGTGAAATCATATCGTGTAAACACAGTTTTTAAAATTTCATTTGATTTGGAGAGTGGCGGGGGGGGGGGGGGGGACTACAATAACACGGGGTGAATTCAACTCACACAAAAATACACTACACTAAGGGACTTCTAAAATGTTACAAACCCAACTCTAAAATGACACTCTACGCTGTAGGTGGCTGTGTTATGTCGCGTGGTGTGTTCTGACTGACCGTACTTATTTATTTCAAGTTTTTCAACAAATGTATTCTGATGTGTAGGAATATCTACATGATCGTGAGTAAACTTTCATTACCCATGTTATAAGGAGTCGACTTGTAAAAACGCGTGGCTTAGGTTAAGGTTAACACGTGGCGGGTTAACCCCCTTCTTAACGTGTCTTAACCCTCATACAATTGACGTCATTAGAAGTAGGGTTTGGGTTAACCCTGAGATAAACAGAAAAGGTACATTAAGTTTGTAAACACGTGACACAGACGGAAAACCGACAGTCGAGTGAGAAGCGTAACATTTGGGGTGGGAAGGAGGGGGGGGGGGGGGGAGAAGTGTCGTTCTGCTGACATATCTGTGATTAGAACAGTGATGGTGAGGGGCGTAGGTCCGGCTACCCTTGCTAAGTCTGTTGGAATAGTAACTGACTATAAGGGACCTGACATGTATACACCTCCATATATATATATATATATATATATTCATCTGCTTGTTCATCTGCTTCAAAATTGGCGTATAAATGGATAGTGTGGTCAGCATTATGCCCAGCCGTCTTCGTTTCCCTAACGTGAGTTAGATACCCATCAGAGTTGGGTGGACTCATTGACGTTCTACCGACTCGAACGCCGTTCCCATATATATATATATATATATATATATATATATATATATATATATATATATATATATATATATATATATAGTGTGTGTATATATGTATATAAACTATTATAGCACAGTAAAACATCAGGAATATACAATTCATTTAGCACCAGAACTTTCCCCCCCCCCCCCACACCAGAACTTCCCCCCCCCTTCCGTCTAGCTAGCAACCAGAACAACTCCATTCAACATTTACACATGACTGTGAAATATTGCCTCACATAAAAATAGCAACAAGAAAGAGAAAAAAAATCTCAGAAAATCTTTTCTCAATCATCTTGACATGGGGATTAAAAACTCAATTTTGCTTCCGACCGGAAATATGCATTTTTTTAATTTAAAAAAAAAAACAGTTTTCCTGCGGATAAAACAAAATGGTAG